AAGTAACTAAAGTAATAAAAGTAAGAAAAGTAAGATTTCTCTTACTTTTCATGTGACCAGTTACTCAGGTAGGCGACGGGACCTAATTTCGACGATCGGTCACGTGAGACCGTGACCGATTTCGGGGCTCACAATATATGAAATTATTTACAAAAGAACAGTAATTTTGTTCAACTAGGACTGACATGTGCCGCTTCATGGCATGTGTTCATTTGCCTAGTTGAACAAAATTACCATTATTATACATAAGTTTGAACTCATTTTATTCTCCGACGGCATCTTGATGCCATCGGAGAACGAACTAAGTTTAAGATGTACTGTATTAGACTTTAATATTTGATCATCCGAATTGTTCCTAATCTGATAATGTGCAACATAAAAATCCAGAGACTTCGGATTATAGTGAGTAGACCAGTATAATAGTTTCGTCAATAGTTTCGTCAATCGTTATCAGTTTCGTCAATCGTCAACAGTTTCGTCAATCGTCAGTAGTTACGTCATATCGTCAAGTTTCGTCAGACGAAACCATTGACGAAACCATTTCGTCAAGGCAAATTAGTTTCGTCAGGCATCCTTAACCACGGCTGATCCTGGTACTTAGGATACAATAGCTAGATGGGAATGTAACAATACTACGGGTAAGAACATATAATTACAAGAATCAGGTTTTTATGATCAGGGATTTATCGATTAGTTAATGTATCAAAGGAGACGTTTATGTATTTATTATTATGTAAGAGGACAGATATTATTTTAATAAAGCGAAGTTCGGGTCTCCCCCTTTACCTGGGGCCTTCTTGCCTTTATTTATATTATAATCTTTATTTATATTTGACATTCTACGTTTGTTACGACTGCTACTTCTACTACTTCGTTCCTAATTCCTATTTACTCGAAATAGCCTGAGTGGGCCGGGTTACCCTAATTTGGAGTAGCCGTAGTCACGTGACTTCCCGGATAACAATATGCAGCATGCACAATTAGTCTTGTATAACCATAATTTAATTGTCTTTCTATTTCTAGTCGATAAATAATTTTACTATTTAGATTGGAGAACAATATAAAATCGTACGTATCTACAAATATTAAATATCAATATAATTGTCTACAATCGATAAATTTAAATAAATTATATTATTACAAAATTATTGTTTTAAATGATTTTAGCGTCGTTAATATAGTAGCTATAGTAAATTAACTAAATATATTTCTTCATATACGATTTATAGTATATACGCTATAAAAGTAATTTCATTTAATAAAAAATAATATAATCTAATTCTATATATTAAGACTAGAAAGTCTATACTTATTAAAGAAACAAGCTATGATGTTACTTTATTGTGATTTTTAATATTAAAACAAAGTTGTAAAATTGGCTTGAAATTTCATTTAATTGATTGGTGTTAACAAAATTAAACTTGTGAAATAAGAATGAATAGAAATTACACGACTTTTGATCATGCAGGAATGAGCATTACATTTCTTTTTTCTTTACATAATAACTTTTATTAGATCAATTTTCATAAATTCTGATTTCTCTTTAATAAATAAGTAATCAGAAAATGTAACTTGCAATAGATATTGAAAGATTTATTTTAGTGCATTTTATTTATATATTTATAACAATATAACAATGATGATTTATATAATACGAGACTAATACTGTAATATCAAACATCGATCAAGGTAACCTCAATCAGTGACGAAATTTTTAGTTACATTAGTGTAGAATAAAGCAATATGTCCGGCACATCACTTTATGAAAGTTTTTGATATGCAAAATATACCAAAAGCAATGAAAAAAACATGAATATACTATAGGAAGTAAAATTTATAAATATTTAATTCGACTAATAGAATTTACACAACTAAATATTCATCAGAAAAACGAACAATAAAAGTTTAAAATTTTAAAATTAACAAAATATAATATAATTATTTTACACTAATTATAATTCATATCAATTACTTGACTGTTAGGGATATTAGCAGTATTATTAATAATTGCCATCTCATTAGGATAGTTGGTATTATTAGTGTAATTAGCGTTATTAGTGTAGTTAACATTATTATTAGGGGGAAAGGGTTTTTCCGACTTAAGATTCACACCAACGGTACTTTTGGTAAGATCGGAGAGTGCATCATTAATTTCAAGAATGATTAAAGCATTTTCGGCAAATAATGCAGCAAATTTGACACTAAGGCCAAATTTCAACTTTAACTTGTTCATATGACCATTTCCATAAGCTTTTCCATCCAACCCGGTAACGTATTGTTCATAGGAATGAACCCACCAGAATTTCCAATTAACAGTTGGATTTTCATGTTTGTTATATTGTGCAAAAAGTTGGTTTAGGAGATTAGTAAATGCTATTGCCCTTTCGGCAGCATTTTTTTCGATCATATATTTGACGAAAACGAACAAAATTCCGGATATACTAAAGCCTACAGGTACACCAGTTATTGATCTCATAATTGCACTGAATATAGCTGATAATAAGAAAACACCGACGGAAGCGACATAATATAATAACTTTTTTGTTTTATGGGTCATTAGTTCAACGCTTTGGACATGAGCATTGATCTGTTGAAGCCTAGTGGCGAACTCTTCGGGGGATAAAAAACCGTGAAGGTCAAGGCACCAATCTGCTTTAAACGAATGACCAGGCTGACAATCACAACAAGTGTCACTGCCGTCTAAAAAGAGAGGGATTAAAACTTTCTTCATGGTATAAGATGGAAGGTTTAATGGATGAAAGTTTAAATGTAATATGTAGTTTAAAAAGGAGAGAAATTAATTAATTTTAGTGATTGAGGTTTAAAAATAATATGTGATTTAAAGAGGGGAGAAAGTAAGCAATATAAAGGTTTTTTGAATTCATAATAAACAATTAAATTCCTATGCATTAAAGTCGGATTAAACTCCGTCATATTGAATGCCTTGTATGCTTATTTAGTAATATTATCCCATTGGTTTTTCTTGCGTACGTATGTCATGGAGATATTTACTGTATTTTGAAACCGTGCGAGATTGATTATGTGCCATTTCTGCAACTCCTAAAAGCTGCGACCAATTAGTAACGAGTGTAATAATTAATGTATTTTCTTAATTTCGCACCTTCAATTCTTTATCTTCAAATAATCTGAGACGTTATGCTTAAACTTTCTTTATCATAGTTCCTTTTTTATCTTTGTGTATATTAAGTAGTCCATATTTGGTTAGAGGGCTGGTTTATTTGTTTTCTAGAATGATGTACAGAAAATACGCCAATAAAGGTAATGAATTGACGAATTTCCAGTGTAATAAACACATTGTTTCAGCTTTATTAGTTAAATGATTTTATTGTCTTTAGTTTTTGTTTTCTTTTACTTTTTAGCAATGTGTAATGTTATGTCAAATCTTTTATTTTATTTATTAAAAATATTATACACTTATCGTTGTAATCTTGATATCGGAGTTTTATCATTCACTTGTCGTTGTAGTCTTGATATAGAAGTTTTATTATTAAAAAAGAATTATCAAAAATAATATTAGCAAGCATTTTATATGTAAATATAAGATTGATGCATGTTTGTGAATTCACACCTTTTTACCAGTGAAGGCATTTGTTTATTACATTGTATTGGATGCATATATATAAGTATTAGATGCATATGTATGTATAATAACAGATAATGCCAAGTTCCATTATACTGTAGAGAGATTTATAGCATTTACCTTAAATGCATCACATGCATAATGTACCATACAGGTCAGTAAAATAATGGCGCACACATGATCTTCTATTTTTTGAAAGTGCATACTGATGAAAATTTATTGTTACTGTATTAGTAGAAATAGTAAAAATTGAACAAATTTATTTATCAAAAAATTGGATCACTTAAGATCTTATCAAACTATGACTGATTTTTAAGAGTGAAAGGTCGTTGATATTGATTATTCCATATAACTGTATAAGTGATATAAATGATATAAAGCAGTTGATTATTCCATGGATACTTATAAAACCCCGTACTTTTTTTGACAAAGTTATTTACATCAACTTATATGACTTTCACATCCAACAGTGTTTGAAACCGGCATTATTTTTCATACAGGTTTACTACTTGTTTAGAACATAAAAATTATACGTAGCAGTAGTAGCATAGTTGCATTATCTTTAAACCGTCCGGTTTAACGTACAAATTTGTACGCTAAAATATTTTGAAGAAAATTGGACTTGAAAAAAAATTTTTTATAAAATTTTTATTCTAACTGTTTGTAACGACTCTTCAAGGTCTGTGTCACATAGCAAATTCCACAGTAACAGCGTGGAGTACATAATGCAGCCTGAACAAGAGTACGAAGGCCAAAAATGATGTCATTTTGACTATACTTTTGAACAAACTTATCTCCTCAACATTAACTTCGGGACCTGTGTGTGACAATTGTGAAGAATCTTTATAAGTGTCACGTATGGGTTCCTTTTTTCGGAAATCAAAGTCCTATTAAAGCCAATTGTAAATAATTAATTTCTGAATTTTTGGAATATCCTTAAAGAAATTTCATGAAGTGGTTATGCGATAATCAATGTTAAGTACGCTTTTATTTTAGCTGAAAAAATAGGGCGTACGGCTTGATAAAATTTAGAGCAAATGGACGAAATATATCAAAAATCATTTTAGTGTACAAATTTGTACTTTAGATAGTTAAGGGATAATAATTACGCGTATAATTACTTTATAGTTAATTGCAAGTAGTTCTAAATTCATAGCATCATGGTGCAATTTAAAGTGAATTGTAGATTCAATATAGTTTGATAGTTCAATAATTGACATTTACGGGCAAATTCGTCTGCAATGGGTAAAAAATAACGGAAGGAACGTCGATGTTACACGTGTTACACGACTGATTCTTCATCCGATGTGGAACATATAAAAAATTGGTTTACCGGATCATTCTGCTAGTACATCCTATGCCATAGGAAGACTTTCGTATGATTGACTGTTTAAATCGATTTAATTTTACATTATTTATACAGTTTTAAAAAAATAAAGATATGAAAAATAAACAAAAAGAAGTATATTGAAAGTTTTATTGGGGTTGTAGGTAAAAATAATCAAAATACCTTTTATTTTAAAGGAGTTAACATGTTAATAACATAATTCTATCTATCTTTAATAAGTCGTTATTATGCTAACTTCTCTAAATTGATGGTTGAGTCCTACAACCTTAATGAACCTTCTTATATGCTTCTTTTTTGTTTATTATTCGTAGCTTTAATTTTTTTTAAAACTGTATAAATAATGTAAAATTAAATTGATTTAAACAGTCAATCATACGAAAGTCTTCCTATGGCATCTTATGAACATTTTAGGATTATAATCCAGTGCCATTTTTATTACAATAAAATGGTGCTGAATATAATCATAACATGTACTAGCGGTATTGTAAAATAATTTTTTTATATTGTGATTCCGGAAATCGGCGAGTCTGTCGCTAAACTAATCCAACTCTCGCGTAACCTACGGCGGCTAAGTCG